ATACTTGCATCCAGAAAAGCTATAGTTTTAAGCAGTGAGTCAGATAGTGTATCTCTAACATACATAGGATTTAGAAGCATTCTTATTGTCATTATCACATCTACTACACTTGCAGGATTTGAACTTCAAAGAAGAGCCTGCCAGACGAAAATGCAGGAAATGTTTGCATTCCTGTATGATTCCATCATCCAGGGGCCTGTATTGGTTGAAAGCACCCTTCAGCAGATGTTTTTTGAAAGGTCAGGTTAAATCTTAATACACAATACACATTCATTTCAGTTCTCCCCTTTCTAGTTATTGATTATAACTCTGATTTGTACAGAAAATCCTTCTGGTGTCTCTGCTATGACAACTCACACCAGCTGGAAACTTCTTGCAGCACTTTGTCTCTCTTCCCCTGGTCTTTGTCAGCTTTCCAAACATCACTGAAACCATCCTTTCAATATCCCAATGAGGTTAAGAAGATGTTCTTTGTGTCTGCACCTAGAGCACAGAGCAACCAATTCTAACTGGTACTAAGGTCTTCTTAGTTTATTTTGGCAGGATGGATTTATGCTTCTCCAATCAAAGCCTCATCACACTTTGGAAAAGATCATGAAGAAAGACTAAGTCTCCTTAGTTGAATCTCATCTATATGAAGTGACTGACTAAATTACACAATTGTCCTTTGTGCTCTGCTAGGAATTGAATCCAAGTGTCTTGAGAGTAAGAGACTCTGTCTATTAGCTATACAAATAAACAGCATTGTCTTAACTTCTTGGAGGCTTTTTCCCATATAAATTTGGACAGTACCTTCTGCATATTTTCCTGTGCATTAAATTCAAATTATACACCTCAGGTCATAACACTTGAAACCAAATTTCACACTTCTGCACTGTATTTACTGTTTCATATTCTATTCAGTAGATACTGCATCATAATTCCTACCTAATCCAGTACTAGACTTCGTAGGTGAGTGTCAGATTGTGGGGTTTGTTGCCATAGTTTCATTTGGTTTTCCCCCTGCTTTTATGCATATTTTAAAAATGCAAGTTCAAGTTCACAAATATTATTCTGATGGTAATATTAGTAAACTAATTTTGCTTTATACTTACCATTTTGGGGGGCATGACTATGGTGATTTACTAACTCTGCAAATAATTCTGCACTAGTTACAAAGAGTAAGTAGGTACTACTTCAAATCTAAGGAAAGCATTAGATACCACCAACCATAAGCAAGCTTCACTAATTTCTGCCACATATGTATTAAGAGGCTGCCTGTGGGAAAAGACAGGTAAGTACTATTAAGCTGATGTCTTCCTTGCAATCAAGTGACATTTTAGTGAGGTTTGTTAGAAACAAGAGGAAAAAAATGGTGCAGCATGTGAGGCCCACCTAATTCATATGACAAGTTAATGGAATTTTATACAGCACTGTCATTTCAGTGCCATATGCTACCCTTTTCCTAACAAACGTGATCAAATTTTGCAATGCATATAAAACATCCATGTGGATGCACCACGATTGCAACCACTTATGCAAAGGTGAAATCAACGCCCACAACGGAGTCTGGTGACAGACAGTTATTAGCAGTGACTGCAGTCAAGCAGAGATAGCTGTGCCTAGAGGGAGAGGGTAAAAGGAGAGGTCTGCTGCCACAGGTGAAAGAAATACCTTATTTTGGCCTGAGACAAAAGGAATGAAAAATAGGAGCGACTGTCTTGAGGCAAAATATCTTCAGCATCTTACCTCTTGCTAGGAGGATGATCCAACTCTGAGCTTAGCAGGATTTGAAAGTCAGAATCCCCCGCATCTCCCCGAGATTAACTGATATGTTTGTCTTCCCTATGGAGACACTTTCCAGACGATTTTCTTGCCCTGAAGTCTGTTCTTGCATAGTAGCTCCTATTAAAATCTTGATGCAGCTTTCCCTTTTATAAAATTTAAATGTGTGGTGTGATAATACTGAAACCCCTGAACAATAAAATGGCACACTTCTACCTACTCTCTGTATTTCAGTGCCTGAGAAAAGGTCAGATTCCTATTGTTTGCAGCCCTCTTACCTGCTAGTGCAGAAGATCTTTGCCCTTGTTTTATTTTGGATTTGTAAGATGCATACAGGGAAGGACAAAAGAGGATCCATGTAAAAAACTCAGAAATGATAACCAAACTATGACCCCTTTCCCCTTCTAAAAAAAATTTAAAATTCAAACAAGTAATTTAGAATATCTACCTATGGCAAGAAAGGACTAGACAACTATGAAAGGAAAAGAGATAATGAAGTTTTTTTGTTAGAGGAAGGAAGTTTTTTATAAAGAGGGACTTGCTTAACTATGTGAAATGCAAGCTCAGGTTTGGTGTAGTTTTCTTATTGTGATTGTCATATTTTAGTTCTCAGGTTCTTCTGCTTAATGGCACGTCTCAGATGTATGTACCTAACAGTAGTTGATGCAGGTAAAAATGCATGAGCTTTGATAAAGTCAAGTGAAATATCCCTGTGGGGGAATAGAAACTTGTATTTCCAGAGGGATGTGAGGTAAGATTTTTTATAACATCATGAATTTTTACATGAACTCAGGGATTTCTTTAAAGTCCTGATTTTTGTGTCAACCACATAATGTATGACTGCTATAAAAAATGAGTTTTATGTCCAACATTTCAGCATCCAGTCTGAGATTGAAGTGACCTTGTGCTGATCAGACTACGAAAAATTATTCGTTGTATTATGACTAATATCATAATGCAAACATTATTATACTAAGCATAAAGGCTGCTAAACACTACTGTATTAACTGTTTTCTATCACCTTGTTCCAAATTTCATACCATTAACTAGCCAGAGTTCTGCAAACTGACCACATTGGAAAGAAGCACTCCCAATTCCTCTTCAGTCTTTAATAGAGCAGGTCAGCTGGTGGGTTTTTTTGAGGACAACAGAAGGTTAAAAAGGGTAGGGTAAGTTTTCATGTGGACCTGCTCCCTGGTATAACTCGCCACATGATAGCACAAGCAATTGCACCCCTTCAAAAGAGAGGCCAATGCAAGGGCCAGACTGAACTGCAGTGAACAAGGGGAGGGCACATCTGCTTCTGGCTTCAGGTGATCATTCTACTGTGACCTTTTACTCCAGATATGGAAGTCGCTGTAGGACCAGCTGAAGACGGATTCCTTATGAGCAACTGCCTATCCACTCCTTTGTTCCTCTTTGTAGATAGGTATTTCTGCTTACATGAATATAAAGTGGGATCAAAAATGATACCAAGCAGAAACAGAAGCAGCAGTGTCCGCACGCAGACACATTTTTAATTACTAGCACTGTTGCCATTCCTCCCACTCCACAAAACCTTCCAAATATTTAAAGAATGTTAACTTTTATAAAGGATGGAACAAATCATGTGACCTGTCAAAATCTAGAAATGCTCGGGGCAGTGGGGGCTGTCGAAGTGGCCTTCTCAAACCGTTCTGGAAAGTTTGAAGCAAGAAGCCTGACACCAGAGCTCGCTCACCTTCTGTTGCTGGTCTCATGTTTCAAGGATTCAAGGACTCTTCAGCATCAGCCAAACCATCTAACGTTGCAAAACGATGGGTGTTTATGACAGTGCTTAGCATTTTAGGAGAAACATGTAACACCCCATAGGCTCGAGTGGGTCTCGGGTTATGTGTTTGTGTATTAGCTAGCAGCTGAGAATAAAAAGTAAAATAAGGGCAGTTTTTGGAACCTGTGGGGTTTCTTTTTGACAGCTTTATCTTCATGTCTCTCGGCCTGTGGAAGTATGACTTTCCTGCTTCGAGGCAACTCCTACTCACGCAGTCCAACTACTACTTAAACGGTGTTGCTACAAAAACAAATTCCTTTCCCTCTTTGCCTAATTATATTCTGCACACCACATCTCACCCGCCTCTCGACTTGTCCCTCCGCGCTTGTTTGTGAAACAAACTCCCCGCATCTCCCATTCCCCGCAGCCTCTTTCCGTGGGCCCGGGCCCGCCCCGCCGGAGCTGAGGGCTCGGCCCCTCACGGGCACTGGGCGCAGAGCTCGGCGCCGCTCGGGGCCGCCGGGCGCAGGCGCGGTCGGGCCGGGGCCGCCGCCATGTCGTGAGCGGAAGCCGGGCCGGGCCGGGGGAGGGCGGCAGCGCGGCCCCGCCCGGCAGCGGGGAGGGCGCGGGGGAGGGACGGGCGCACCGCGGCGGCGGCAGCGGGCAGCAGTCGCCGCAGGAGCCGCCGCCGGAGCCAGCCGGGTTGTCCCGTGCCCTCCGCAGCGCTCGCTGCCTGCCTGGCCGCCCCCGCCGGGTAGCGGGAACGCGGAGCGCGGAGGCTGCGGGAGCCGGACGGGGAAGATGCCCCTGGCGCAGTTGGCAGACCCTTGGCAGAAGATGGCTGTGGAGAGCACGGCCGAAAGCAGCACCGAGGTACGAGGCGGGCGGGGGGGGTGCTGCGGGGAAAGTTGTGAAGAGAGGATGGGACCGGGAGTCCCGGTGCCGCCGTCGCTCAGGGGATGGGCAGAGTTTCCCGCCGCGGGGTGTCGGGGCGGGCAGCGGCCCGGCGGGGGGACGCGGCGAGCGCCGGCCCCTGCACGCCGCTGCCTCTCCGGGGCACTGACTCACGGCCGGCACCGGCCGGGACTCCCCCGCCCGCGCTGGGCTCAGGGCGTGTTTCCCGGGACCGGGCTGCTCCCGGCGCGCTCCCTCCCCTTCCGCCCCGTTCCCGGGAGGGAGTAACCTGCCTCCGCTGTGGCCGCCGGCTCGGGCGCTTTTGTTCCAGCGCGGTGTCTGGTTACTGTCACGGCGAGTTTCCTTTCCCAGGGCGGCCCCGCCGCCTCCGCTGGCGCTGCTCGGGGAGGGCAGGAGCGCCAGGCCTGCCCTCGCCTTGCCCGGTGCCTTCGCCTTGCCCGGTGCCCTCGCCTTGCCCGGTGCCCTCGCTTTGCTGCCGCTCCCCGTGTGGGTCCCCGCCGGGTGCCGCTGCCCCCTTACCTCGGCAGGATGGAGTTGCCGACAGTTTCGCAAGCATTTGGGAAACCGCAAGGACGTGAAGGGTGGTGAAGCATGGGTGAAGCTTTGTGCTCGGCGGCGTTGCCGGGAACATCCCCGGGGTGCCGCGCAGTGTGGGTTTCCCGCTGTGGTAGCGGGGAGTGCGTGTTGTGCCTGTTCTTGTTAGGCAGGACGCGTGTCAGCTTTCCTAGGCTGGAATAATGAGAGCGGCTGGAAATTAGAGTCACTTGCAAGCGAGGCCATAGAAGCTTTCAGCTATTTTAATTTTTTTCCTGCTCCTGTTGGTTTGGAGCTATGTAAACACTGCACCTACACAGTCTGTTGTGCTTGCTCCGGGAGTGCCTAGTAGCCCTCCGTGCGTTTGCCACTTTGTGACCAGATTCCATCTGAAAAGAAAAAGCTGCTTCTGACAGTGCAGCTTCGACCTGAATCGGCTCCAGCTGATACGCAGCCAGGCTGCTTCAAGTGATGCTGATGTGGAACGGTGTGGACCCAGGCCAGCTCACAACAATTAGTCGCAAGGTTAGAACTCTCTCCTTAGTGAAAGGAACAAAGAGAGACCAATGCAGAGTTTCTGCAGTATCAGGATTTATCCTTTTGATCTCTGTCTTGTCATCCTTCTGCTGAAAATCACTGTATCTCAGGGAGTCAGAAGAACCTACAGTTCAGATCTGACAGGCACATACATCTTTTAAATTCTTGCCAGGTACTGTAGTTAGTTTTAAATTCGTGCTAGTTATTCACTGGCTTCTGGAATAGTGATCTTAGATGATTTTAAATTGGGAGTAACTACAATAGTAGTGTGATGCTTGAGGGTGGGGCAGAAGGTGGTATGGGAAAACACGTAGATTAATCATTTAGAGAAAAGAACTGTTGCTTTAGTCTTTGATGCTCACTGCATGCGGTCTAACTTCATAGTACATATGCTAGATAGGTAGAAAGATTGTTATTTGCAATATGTCTATATGCATGATTATACTTTCACTTGTTTTAGTGTATTTGAGACACCATTTGTTTTTAAATTGCTGTCATATCTTCTTGAAAAAAGTGTATTTTATCACTTCCTTAAAAATAATTAAACTTTTATATTGACATGAGTCTACAGTAGTTTATCTCCAAAAAATGCCTAGGACCACTAATAAAACACGAAACAGTGTGAACTGACAGGTTTGCACTCCAAGGCCCTAGTCTAGAATAAACAGTTCTTGAAAAGACCAGGCTGCACCTGCAAAAGCTTCTCAGATGACACTCGAAAGGAAAAACTTACTTAGAAATGTTGCTTACATGAAATGACTAGATGAGAAAAGCTATTTTAATAAAAATAGATAAGATAATTCAAATACATAGACAAGTGACCTAAATACATAACTTAGATTTTTGATTTGCATGAGTTGTGTTTATCTGTAGCATAGCAATATCCTAATTACAGACCCTATTCTGCAAGAGTATCCTTGGGCAAAAATATTCTTCCGTTTGCCTGAAACTTATTGTGATTTCAGTCATAGTTTGATACTAATGATGTCTTTAGCTGTAACTCTGAGTGAAGTGTTTCTGCTAACCTCTCAGATCTGCTGACACAGTTCTTGTAACACTGTATTGTCCGCATATGGAATTACAAATTTTTGAGCTCTAAAACTCAGCTCAGACACTTCTATTGTCTTAACGACTTATGAAGTTTTTATTTGACTTGATTTTTCATTTGTTTCCCAGTACAGTCCTGTGGTTACAGTGGTACCACCAAGGAGGTGATATTCTGTGATGGGTGAACAAATTTAGGAGAAGAATACTGTGTCTAAACAGCTGAATACCTTTAAATAGCTTTAGTTTGGAAGTGTAGTTATCACAAACAGCTGCTGTAACTTAGGTGTGCAGAACAGTAGAATATAGTCTTTCTTAAAAAATAAAGCAGACAACATTTTTTAGATAAAATGTGGCTTTATGATTTTAAAAAATAATTTTCACGACTTCTGTTTCTACAGGTGCAAATAGGTCAATGATCCCACATTGCATCTCTGACAGCTTTTTTCAATGTGTAAAGCTTTATGCTATTTTTAAAATATTTTGTCTGTATAATATGTGTAGTTTCAGTTTCATGTTGTAAATCACAGCGCCTTTAAAGCTTTTGGAATGATGCTGTCTCTTATTGACTCAGTGTCTACTCAGGATTCATAACAAGCATAGGTTTGTTTATCATGGTGAGAATATGTCTGTTATTGCAAGTCATCTGCTTTCGAGCAAATTAAGTATTGATGATTTGAGTTTGCATTAGAAAGCTTGAATAACTAGCCTGATTCTTTCATCTGTACTCCCAGTTATGCATATTAGTATCAACTGGAGGAGAATGAATACAGTTATGGCAGACAAATTTTGGACATCAGTATGTTGAAAGAGCTGGCATCATAAGGAGATGCCATTTGCTAGGCTTTCTGGGAAGCACTTGTGACAGCTATAGTTATGAGTTTTAATTTAGGTGCTCCAAATTGGCTGTGGAGAAAGTTCTTTTTTTTTTTTTTTTTCACTGGTCTTGACAGGGTTTATGGTCACTTGTTCAGGCGTCTAAATAGATGGTATGAATCTTCCTTCACAAATTTCTTTGGTTTATATTCTGTGTCCAAGATTATTTGAACTTTGCATGAGACAAGGGGTGCTAGCATTTAATAGTCATGCTGATACTTTAAAGAAACTAGTATAATGTAAATTTTGCTTTGTAATTTCATTCTGATTGTCAGTGTGGCATTCTCTATGTCAATATATATTTCTGGTCTGGAAGCTGAAATTTTTTAGATTGCCACCTGTAGCCTTGAGACTGTGATTGTGACTGTCTCTTCACAGTCTGTACTTTGTAATCAGTGTTGTCTTCCACAGGAACAAAGGCTATATTTACAGTCATTTCTGGTATAGCCAACAGAGATAAATAGTTAAAGCCAAAGTGGAATCACCTAAATGGACTGGTCTGTGGGGATTTTGAAGACTATCCATTGTCTCTCCATTATAGACAAAATTATGTTCACCACAAAAGAAGCTGTCACTTCTCACACATAACTGCTGTCAGCAACAGTGCGTTCTGAAGTCTGAATTTTTCACTGATTTGGGGGTGACGTTTTCTTGTCCTGAGTTAAAAATGGGAATTGGAAATTTAATTCTTATCTAAATAAGTAGTATCCACCATATTCCACAAACAGCTGCGGTACATAACAGATCTTATATATATGTATATACTGTCTTGAGAAACACATCATCTGCATGAAAAGTGTTGGGGGGGGGTGCATGTTCAGATTTTTTATATCCTTATTAGTACCATTTTACCTGCTTTGTTTTTCAGTGAATCCTACTCCATGACATAGTAATGATGTCCTGTGGTCAGCTGAGTGAGGCAGGAGAAGGCAGGAGCTTTACTTTGTTGAATTCAACAGCATTACTGTATGCTCTCTGCATCTTTTGGTTTCCTTTGTAAAGGTGTTGAGTTTTAACTTCTTTAAATGGTTTTGTTGGTTTTCTTATGACATTAGCAGTTCTTATCTTGTTATTGTTTTGTTTGTTGTAGTGTAGGCAATATTTCTTGCCCCAGCTGGGACATGTAACAGAAAGTAGATGTAAGCAGATTGACACATTTAAAGGCGTGTCTGTTTTCTTTGAATTGGTTGTGGTCTGTCACACTGACTGTAGTTGTTTGTCATTTGAAATGCTTGATTTAAAGTCACAATGATACATAGACTGAGGTGGGCGTTTAATTATTTCTGCACATCAAAAATATTAGCTTTGTGTGTTGACTGATCTTGGCAGTTGGCAGATCAATCAGCTTTAAGAACTTATTCAAGATACTGTTTTGGAGTTGTGGGTTTTTTTCTGTGGCCCTTGGTTGGAGGAAGTGTTTTGTTTTGGGTTTGGGGCTTTTATTTGTTTGGGTTCTTTTTTTCAACAGATATAGCCATAGCCATATTCCAATAGTGAAACTTTTGAGCAGTTTTTCAGGCCAGAGTGGATTTGTAGAATTGATTTTTTTTTTTATTTTTTTTTCAATCTTGATGACTTTCAATTTAATCAGTAAAACTGGAAAAAGTTAGAATCCCTTCAGGAAACTTTTAAGTTTGGGCAAAATGGGCTGAGTACCACAGTTGCTGTGCTATATGCTTGCATATGTGATACCATTCTGCTTATTCACTTATTCACTGCTTATCTTATTCACTGAAATAAGATGGAATGCCTCACCCATTGGAAATAGAGGGGAGAAAAAAAATCCTATGTAACAGATGGGAAAATGAGTCTCAACAGCTTAGTGACCCCATCTAGCATCATTCATGGAGTCTCTTCTAGAACTACATGAACTCTAATTTCTTGGGACCTACTCCAGTGCCTTGACCACAAAGTTACTGCTAGTTCATTCCTATCAGTAAGATTTACCATATGTTGCCTTTGATGCAAGAAACCTCTGTGGTATGCTTAATGCTCCACTTAACTATTTTTGGAGGAAATCTGCTACCATTTTTTAAAAATAATAATTAATTTATTCAGTGAAGCCATTCAATTGTGTATGAGTATGTATCTTAAAAATAAGTTGTTGTCGTCTAGGTCTGTTTCTTGACAGCTTCTAAGTTTAAATTAAAATAAATGTTAAAAGAAAATTTAAATAATTTAATCCAAGCATTAATTTATTGAAACGTGCTTAGCTATATGTAGATGATGTGAAGAAATAGTATTTTGTGATTTTAAATATCCAACAATACATAGCTTTGAAAAATAAAACTCTCTTTGTCCTGCAAATTCAAAAGGTGGTGGTTTTGGGATGTAAATATTATTTGAATTATTTCTTGCATAATATGTTTTCCAAAATTAGTTACTGTTAGAACTTAGACTTGTGAAACCATGCTTTTAGCTTCATGGGGATTCTTTCTCCTCCTGTCTTCCTGTAGCTGACTTGTGTTATATAGTCACTTCAGAAATCCTGAATTTTAGAAAATAGTGAAGTTGTACCAGAGCTTATTCTCTCTTCTTAGCAGAATGTATCAAAATAGTAAATTTTAAAATAAGTGTAAAGAGTAATGCTTTAGTTGACTGCAGTATTCAATTTCACTCTTTGAATTTATCATGCATTCTGAGAAACCAGCTCTCATCTGAAAACCTGTGTGTGCAGCACAGGGAACGGCAGCGCACAGCCGTGCTGTGCTGCCCCTGCTCATAGGGGAAGGGCCTGGCACGTCCTCCCTGCGTGCCTCCAGTCCTTTGGCAGGAGCCCAGGAAGGCACAGGGCATTTCCTGGGACTGCAGGAGGCAGGGAAGGTCAGGTGCACTTGCCTTCTCATGCAGATGCAGCCTTGGTAATAAGATTTGTACACTCTCAGGTGCCAGAGTCACTCTTAAGATTATGTGTGCAAGCAGAAGGAATTTCTTCTATTTTCAGGTCTGCAGCAGTGGTTGGATATATTGAGGCAGGTGATTTCTAACGTTTATATTTTTTCTTCCTCTTTGGAGCAGATGAACAGAGATTAGATGCTTTGTTTTACTAAGGCTGCTGAATTTCTGTG